ATAATTAATAAAATTTAAATCAACTTTTATTTTTATATAAATTAATAATAAAAAATAAAATAAACACACTCATTAATTTAAAAAACCTATAAAAATTATTATTTGCATCACATTAACGAACACTCTAAAATGTGATTTTGTGAAATATATATATATATAGTTAAACCTTTGGTCTCTCAACTATTGTACAAACTTCTAATTGAGTCCTTCAACTAAAAAAGTCCTTGATTTGGTCATTATTGTTTCCCATTTTGACCCCATGGTCCCTTTGTTAAAAATTCGCCTATGTGTCTCGTTAACTAATAAGAGCATGTTGACATGTCAAAATATTAAATACACGTAAAAGATATCCTGGCAAAAAATAATGATATGACAAAAAAAAAACTTTAAATATTCTCTTTTTTCCTCTTTCCCTTTCTCCTTCTTCTTCTTTGCCTTGCCTTCTACAAACCCTAAAGACAAAACCTACAATTATAACTGCCCCTAGTGAAACCTGCAAGTTCATCCTTTCATTTTCTTTCTCTCTCTATCCCTCCCTCAACACCAAATCTGGACATTTTTCCTTCCAATTTCTCTTTTTTATTGGGTTCCTTTGTACCCAGTAGTGCTTATTGGGTTCCTTTGTACCCAGTAGCGCTTATTGGGTTTTCTCAAACCTAGCATGCTTGGGTTCTCTCGAACCTAGTAGCTGTTGGGTCAATCAAACACAGTAGTGCCTACTGTGTTCAATCGAACCTAGTGACTATTGGGTTCCTCATCTTCTTCTTAGTTGGCGGCTAAGGAAGCTCATCCTCGTCTTCTTTTTCTTCTTCATCCTCTTCCTTAGCATCCTCGTTGTTGTTGTCATCCTCATCTTCTTCATCTTCTTCATCATCATCATCTCCACTGGCACCATCACCATTTGCCTCTAGTTCATCCTTAGGATCATCTTCATCGTCCTCACCAAATCCATCTTCCACTTCACCTCCATCCTTTTCCTGATCATCTACAAACTCATTTTCCTCTTCTTCATTATTGTCAATTTCATTGGCATCTTTTTTCTTTAAACCTGGTTTTCTCAGAGCATGAAACTGAGCAAGTGGGAACCTGCAAAGGAACCTAGATATGGTGTTGGGGAAGGGGAGAGAAAATGAAAGGATTCAGAGGTTGAAGATAAGGGTAATATGATCATTTTATTAGGTTAAGGGATTACTTAGACAATTTTTTACCAAGTTACATATTTTTTGCCATGTTGTAAATTTTACATATTTTATTTATTGAAAAGACCTGCTTTTTTGTTAGTTAACATGTCATATCATCAAAAATTTAATGGAATGACCAAATTGGAACGGCCAAATTGGAACCAAAATGAGAAATAGTAAGGATCAAATTAAGAACTTTTTGAATTGAAGGATTTAATCAAAAATCCATACAATAATTAAAAGACCAAAATGAAAGTTTAACATGAATAAAAACAAATAAACAAACACTCTAATGTGTGGTTATAAGCACGCCTGATCATAAATCCAACCAAAACAACTTTTCTTAAAGTGCTAAAGGGGTGAGCCCTAGCCCTACCCTCCATCAAGCGTCATGCATGTCGTCACCCGTGCCCCATGCCTCTCCCTTAAAAGTCGCAAACCGCATCTCAACGGAATATGCTTGCCCTTCTTTAAACGACGCCGTATGGATCACTCTAATATAAAACATTGCCGTTTTACAATATATTAAATAAAAAAACTACTTCAATATATGCCTTTAAAAATACAATTAATATATTTTTTATTATTAAATTATATAAAAAATTAAAATTAAAAATTTAATAATTAATTAAATTAATACATATATTATTAATGTTAAAATTAATATTA